AGAATTCTCCCTTTCTCTGGTCGTAGAGTTGACGGGATATTCGATTCCCCCGTGCGAGGCCTTGCCTGCCTCCACTGGTCAGAGCCCGGGGGGTGTCGGAAGCCTTCTTCTGAGGATGGTGACCAGATTTCACACCTTGGCTTGGGCCAGTAGTCTGAGGAGATCAGAGTCCTCTCCTGATGCCCTCTCTGTAATATTAGAGGACTTTTTCAAAGAAGAAATGTTTAGACTGGAAAACCACATCATCTTACCAGCGGTCCTGCGTTGGAGAGGTCTAGCTTCCACTGTTCAGCTTTCTGTCTTTGGAAGCCAGAGCCAGTGATATTGGCGCTAATTTAAATATGGTTGTTCCATAACAAGCCATTCTCAGCTGATCTTTTTATAATTTACCCTTAGTTTCACAGCTTTTTAGAACTACACTCTAATAAGATGAGAACAAAGCACTTTAGGATTTAAAAATTAATAGTTTTTTTTTTAAAGATTTTACTTATTTGACAGAGAGAGACACAGCAAGAGAGGGAACACAAGCAGGAGGAGTGGGAGAGGGAGAAGCAGGCTTCCCACCGAGCAGGGAGCCCGATGCGGGGCTCGATCCCAGGACCCTAGGATCATCACCTGAGCCGAAGGCAGACGCCGAACGACTGAGCCACCCAGGCGCCCCAAAATTAATAGTTTTTGATAAAACTGTTACAACTTCTAACCCACTGCCCCTGGGATTCCCTCGCCAGGCTCCTGGTTGCTCTCGTTTTAGGGCAGAATTGTGACTGGAGCTCTTGCTCGCCTCACACACCTTTAGCCTGGGATTAACCCAAACCAAGTGTCCTTTTACAATGAATAGTTCTTGAAAGAGGCTTGTCTGAATTCTGGCTGATGGTCTTTAATTCTTTTCCCTCCATCCTTGACCCTTCTGGAAAGACATACCTGGGTTTCCAACACCTCACTCTCCACCCTGGACCCCCCTTCTCAGGGTACTGTTTTCATAGCCTGCTGAGCAGCTCACGGGGTCTGGAGAAAAAGTCAGTAAATTAAAGGAAGCTGAAAACCAACTCTTAACACCTTCACAAGCTAAGTGGATGACTAGGACTTGAAGCAGTTCAGCAGAAATAGGGCTCAGTGTTCACCTTGGCAAGACTGACATGTTATGAGCTTGTTGTCCTACTTTCTGAAGGCCCCAAAAATCATCTTCCTATTCACCCAGCTTTTTGTTGAATTTTGAAATTTTGTGTATAGATCTATTCTAGTTTTGTTTTTTTTTTCTCATTCAGTCATTTGAATTTAAGAAATAATTTGTCTGAGGCTCCTGGGTGGCTCAGTTGGTTGGGCATCCGACTTTTGGTTTCGGCTCAGGTCATGATCTCAGGGTGATAGGATTGAGCCAGTGTCCTGCTCCATGCTCAGCGGGGAGTCTGTTTGGGATTCTCCCTGATCACTCACGCTCACATGCTCTCTCTCTCTCTCAAATAAATAAATCTTAAAAAAAAGAAAAGAAATAATTTGGCTGGAGGGGAGGTGGGCAAGGGGTGGGGTAAATGGGTGATGGGCATTAAAGAAGGCACTTGTGATGAGCACTGGGTGTTATATGTAATTGATGAATCACTAAATTCTACACCTGAAACCAATATTGTATTATATGTTAACTAACTAGAATTTAAGGAAAAGCTTAAAAAAAAGAAATAATATGCATTTAATAATTCAGGTAATTCAGAAATAGTCCAAAGTAGAATTATCTCCTGACTCCCATCTTCTTTAGCTTCTTGCTCTTTGTTACAATTTACAAATAACTACTTGGTGCCTGTCCTTCCACACTTGTTCTGGTGCTCATGCAAATATATTTTATACACAAAAGTGCACACACATATACATTATACACGTGTTATGTGTATGTGCTGTTATATATAAAAGGGATCACCACTTTATTCTGTAACTTGCATTCTTCACTTAAAAATAGATAAATTAATATCCTTCCAAATCTGTACTTTAATCTTATTCTCTTCATTGCACATATTTTTGTGGTATCACTGTGCCATAATTTAAGGCAACACTTCTCCCTATTGGGAGATTTTCAGGCTGTTTCCAGTATTCTGCTAATAAAAAAATACTTTGCTATGGGGAAATTTCTTTGATATGAATCTTTATGCATTCCTGTCAGATAAAGCCCAGGGTGTGCACATTTAAAAATGTTTAAACACTGCCATTTTATTTTTTATTTTAGTACTTTAACAATCTTATCAACAGATCATTACTGCTGAGATGTATTTATATACTTCTTGTAATTAAAGCCTTATGCTAGATCTGTGCTTTTCTGCTAGACCATCTCAAGTTGATTACATTTATGATTTTATTTGGGAAAAAAAATCTTTGAACCTTCGGCTTAGCTTTACTGATTATATTCACTTAATTGGGTTTTACCTCCATGCAGTTAGTCAGTTAGAACCAAAAGGTCATTTGGGGAAATTTGACTCAGACAGTCTCCTTACAGTATCAAATCAAACCTTCCAATAAAACATGAATTTATTTCTAGAATGGTCTCTGTCCATTAAAGCTGGCAGACATTTAAGAAGTTGTTCAGTGGCTACTTGATTGTTACGAACTGAAATTATGAAGTTCAGTAGCTGAGCTGGGGGAGAGATTGCAAATTCTAAACATCTGGTAAATGTATAAGACATGACACAATTATTTTGGCCAGAAATCTCAATGCTAATTCTCTCCTGGTGATTTCTGTGCAGCTTATTTATTTAATGGAAAAAGAACTAATAAGAGAAACAGACTCAAAGAGGTCAGTTTACAAAACAAGAAATACAGTTTGCAAAAATATTGGTGGAAAATACTGTTCAGCCTTCTTATTCAAATTGCAAACACATTGATGATGTTGGCCGCAATTTGATGGACTAAGCATTCTCATACACCCCCGTAGGGCAACTTAGTTATACATATCAGAGTCCCTAAAAATATGTTTTGATGCTGTAATTCTGGAAATTTATAGGAGTAAAAACTTTGAAAACGACCTAATCAAAAAGTAGAGTAAAAGTTGAATTATGTGAAACTATAAATTAATCCAGTAAAAATCATTTTATGTAGAGAATATTTAGAAGGTAATGGCATGGGAAACTAGGCACTATAATAAGTAGGAAAAAACAGGCTTCAAAATTACGGTAGTATTTCCCAGAATACTTCTTATGAGATGTGAGATCCTCCATGGCCTCCAAATGAGCTTGAGAAATGCTTAGCTAATCAGAATTAAATTAAGCTGAAGTACTGCAGGGCTGGGCTTCTTGGAGATTCATAGAACATAAGATGACTTGTATTTTCCAAATTTCTTTGACCTTGAAACTTTCTAAGGAATACCTATTAGCATCTTTCAAAACACTCGTGTTCCACAGAACATAGTATAGGAAGTGCTAATATGGAGTTGAGTCTCATTTTTTATTTTTAAAAATGTGTGTCTCTGTCTTATGTGTATACATGTGTACTTATGTTTATTTGTATACATGTATGCATAGAAAACTAGAGAAAACCTATGAAAAGGGTAATCTTGGGGGTTGTGAAATTACTGGTAATTTTTTTTCTTTATCCCAGTCTGAATTGCCCAGATTTTCTGGGGGAAGAAAAGAATACTTTCAATATTGAAGAAAAGTTGTGTTGTTTTTAAACTTTCATAAAGTTAATTAAAAAAAAAAAACACTGGTGAGGGGTGTCTGGGTGGTCAGTTGGTCAAGCACCCAACTCTTGGTTTCAGCTCAGGTCATGATCTCAGGGTCGTGAGATGGAGCCCCAAGTCGGTCTCCCTACTCAGCAGGGAGTCTGCTTCTCTCTCTTCCTCTGCCCCTCCCCCCACTCATGTGCTCTCTCTCAAATAAATAGATAAAATCTTAGGAAAAGAAAAAAAAAAACTCAAGGGCAGGAGGAAACTGGGAAGGAATGGATGTGTCTGTGGCCGTTGTGGTGGTGGTGGTTTTACTGGTGTATACTTATCCCCAGACTCAGCAAGTTGTGTACATGAAATACGTACCACTTCTTACATGACAATCATACCTCCATAGTGTGGTTTCAAAGAAAAAGAAAAAAAACATTGAGTCAGATGTTTGTGATTGTGAGCAAGATATTTAATCTCTGCTTGCTTGTAAAATAAGGGTCCTCTCAGTCCCTCCCACAGAGCTGTTGTCAGAATCGTATTGAGGAAACCACACAGATGTATCCAGTAGGCGCTTACAGATGTACAGATAGTTTTAATTGCATTTTTTGCTAGTTATTAAATGCACAGGGACATACCTCTTTAAATGAGGTTTACCCTTTTTACTGTGGAAACAGACTTCTTAATGATGAATGAAATGCTCTTGTTCTTTAGTTAAGAACACGGTTCTCTCCACTGAACTGGAGGGAAATGTTTCTAGACTAATATAAATGGCTTCCATGTAACTTTGAGTCAGGATCCTTTCCTTTCTCTACTTGCTTCTAGCATTTGTCAAATAACTGTCATAAAGACGAGGTTTTACTTACCATGATCCATTATCTGGTGACTCAGACCCCTTCCTATGACTTCCTTTTCCCCAAAGATCCTCATGTTAAAAAAAAAAAAAGAAAGAAAAAAGTGAATGTTGTCAGTTTCTCATGGGAGTGTAAAATTACTTCTTAGGAAGAGTTTTCTTTTAAAATATAGCACATAGGGGTGCCTGGGTGGCTCAGTTTGTTGAGCATCTGACTCTTGATTTTGGCTCAGGTCAAGATCTCAGGGTGGTGAGATCAAGCCCCACGTTGGGCTCTGCACTGGGTGGGGAGTCTGCTTGAGATTCTCTCCTTCTCCCTCTCCCCCTCCCCACTTGCACTTGCTCTCTCTCTCTCAAAAAATAAAATGCAGTACCTAATCACTTCTAAATGTTAGGATCTAGTGCCAGGAGTGGTAGACTTTATGGTTAAAGTATTTTTCCACACTCTCTCCATAGCTGTTTTTTGCAATGTTGATTTTTTGGGGTTTTTTCCTCACTTCTGTATTTGTTATATAGCAACTCTACAGAAAGAAGCCCGGTCTGGCCATCACGTTTGCAAAGCTGCCTCAAAATTTGGACAAAAACCGATACAAAGATGTGCTGCCTTGTGAGTATCCGGTGTGAATGCCTCCCTCCCCCTCCCACCCTCCCCCAACACGCTGAGATAATGTTTCCCTTTTTAAAACAGATTGTCTGGTATTCTGGAACGATTTTCAGCGTGTCTGTAAACACCACCGTCTTTATTGCCGCCATGTCAGACTCGGAACAGTTGGGGAATAGTGTTTATGCTAATGAGGCGAGAGCTGCAGATGGGGTTGGGGACTGAACTCTTGTTTCCTTGGCATGATAAAAATAATGCTCGGGATAACCGGTAAATTGTTTTTCTCCCCCACAGACGACACCACCCGGGTCTTATTGCAGGGAAATGAAGATTATATTAATGCAAGTTATGTGAACGTAAGTCAAGAGTCTGGATACTAAGAGCACGTTGATCACTGTCCCAAGCATGATCGTGGCATGGGTGGTGCTTTGCGGTGGACGAAGTGCTTCCCTGTTCGCCCCCTCATTTCAGCACCTCAGCAGCCCCTGAGGGAAGGCACAATAGTCTCATTTTACAGAGGACAAAACTAAGGTTCAGAGAGATTAAATAATTTGAAAAGTCACAAAGCTAACAGAAGGTGAGACCAAAACTCAGACTCCGTGTCTCTGACTCCCATCGTCCACATGCCTTCTGTCCTCAACTGCTGACATTTTTGTGGGGTTTTTGTTTTTTGGCTGTTTTGGGTTTGTTTTGTTTTTTTTTTTGCCAGTGGTATGCTTGTAACTTTCTGTGTCCCCTCCCCCCATGTTATTACTGTACATCCCACCTAAAAATAAGGGGAAGAAAACCACTTGTGCATATAACCCAAAAAGAAAAGGTAAAAAGATTTCACGTATTGTGGGAAAGGCCTTCATTTCACTCTGCAAATGCATCTTGGACAACTCACTTGGCCTCTCTGAACCTCATTTTCTTCATTTAAACCAGGAGTCAGCACGCTTTTTCTGTAGAGGGCCAGGTGATAAACATTTTGGTCTTTGCAAGCTGAGGCAAAATGGAGGATATTACTTAGGTACTTACACAACCATTTAAAATGCAACCATGTAAAAATATTTTTTAAAGCACTCTGAGCTTGCAGGTTACCAGGATGGCTCAGTCAGTTAAGCATCTGATTCTTGATTACAGTACAGGTCGTGATGCTCAGGGTCATGAGATTGAGCCCTGAGTTTGGCTCCGCACTCCAAGTGGGGTCTGCTTGAGATTCTCTCGCCCTCTCCCTCTGTTCCCAACTCCTGTTTACTCTCTCTAAACAAACAAAATCTTTTTTAAAAAACCGTGGGGCACCTGGGTGGCTCAGTCAGTTGAGCATCTGCCTTCGGCTGAGGTCATGATCCCAGGGTCCTGGGATCGAGCCTGGCATTGGGCTCCCTGCTCAGCAGGGAACCTGCTTCTCCCCCTCCTTCTGCAGCTTCCCCTACTTGTGCTCTTTCTCTCTCTCTCTCTCTCTTTCTCACTCTCTCTCAAATAAATAAATAAAATCTTTAAAAAAAAAATCTCAAAAAAAAAAAAAACAAACCCAAAACACTCTTAGCTTGCAAAGTGGCTATCAGATTTGGCCCTCAGGCCACAGTTTGCCAACCCTGATCTAAATGAACAGATGATTTCTCAAGTTCTCAAGTTATAGCAAAATATCAAGAACTACCTAATAAAAATGGATCCTATCAGTGATTCCATTTATTCCAAAACATCTGTGGAATTCGTTGACTCTCCCTTCACCATTCCTGGTGTCTTGAGAGCAGAGCATCAGAGTTGGTGGGGTCAGCAAGGTCACGCAGTCCGGTCTCCTTGACCATGAGGATATGAGGGAGCTAAGACCAGGGTTGAAGAAGCCATTAACCCAAGTATCAACCAAACTATGAATTAGGCGCCTCTCTTAGCCTTCCCCATCTAAGATGAGGAGCTTCAAAGCTCAGCAGGTTCTGAATGTTTTTCATAGAAATGACTCCGTTCAGAGGGAAGAAATGCAAGCAGAGCAGGATGGGGGAGGGACACTGAGGACAGTTGAAAACATTTTGACGTTTAACATCAATGAACTCAAGTGGTAACTGGGTGAGGTGATGGATGTGTTCATGAACTTGATTGTGGTGATCATTTCACAACATATGCGTATATCACACCATCCTGTTGTACACCTTAAATACGTGCAATTTTTATTTGTTGATTATGTCAGTAAGGCTGGGGTGGGGGAAGGATTGGTCAACTCAAGGACACGAGCATTGGCAGCCATGCAGAAAGCAGGGCGTAGTGTTTGTGGGGGTATAAGCCTGTATGGTCTGTGCACCAGAGAAAGACAGTGGATTTTGATAGAAAGCCCTGTGTGGGGAAAGATTTGGGCATGAGGACTGGTATGTATTGCTGAAAATACAGATGGCCAATATCAATTATATTTAGGATATAGCAGTAAAGGTCATTGAAACTCTCCTGCCGTCTTGTAGGTACGTGTCTGATTATCGCCTGCTGCGTGTCGTACGGCTTTACCTTAAGTAGCTAATGCTAGCGTCATCGTCAGGCATCTTTCAAGGATTTTTTAAAATAGCTTTTTCTTTGATTTTCCCTGTTGGCTGTAAATTGATGGGATATTCTGGTGTGATGTCAGGCACCAACTAGAAGAGTTTAAGATCCAGTTCCGTGTCCACCTTGTCGCGGTGACGGGTACTAATGCCTGAACAATCTCTTGCCAGATGGAAATTCCTGCTGCTAACCTTGTGAACAAGTACATTGCTGCTCAGGGTCCCCTGCCACACACCTGTGCACAATTTTGGCAAGTCGTCTGGGATCAGAAGTTATCACTCATTGTCATGTTGACGACTCTCACAGAGCGAGGGCGGGTAAGTGGCTTGATTTCCAATTCAGACGTGGGTATGTCACAAACTGCCCTGTGGAACATGAATCTCAGACCTGGAAAGGGTCTTTAATGCCCCCTGGTCCAGCCCCTATGTGACCCCTAAGTCTCCTTTAGAGAGCTACTGATAGACACCTTGAGTGAGGGGCAGCTCAGCACTCCTGCCCACTCCCTGGCTTTCCCCGAGCTAACAAGTGATCAGACAGCCCCTCCCACTCCTGTCTCAGATCCATTATAACAAGCCAGAAGCCTGTTCCCCTTGTCTCACTTCACCTGCCCCAGAACCCCCGTGTTGACTATAGCCTCAGCCACCCAGGACAAGCGCTGGTTCTGAGAAGAGCAGTGTGGGTGCGACAGTGGCCATAAAAAGTAGGAGAAATTACAGCCTCTGTCAGCCTTCACTTGTGATGCAGCAAAACCCGATGCAAAAAGAGGAAGAAGGGCTTGATTAGGAGAGTGATGAGCACCACACTGTGCTTAGCGGGGCGTGCATTTTCCAGAGGAGCAGATCACTGGTTATAGAACAGAAGTCACTGTGCAAGGGATACCTGTATTGTGCATTCTCTTAACTTGTGCATACAGCAAGATATCTTCATTAGGAAACATTTATTCAGAAACCCATTCCAAAATCCGATATAAATTAACTTTGAGCCACCTGCTTTGAATGATTCGTATGCTGCTTCCTCCCAGGCCTCCCTCCTTGGTACATTGCTCAGAATACCAAGTTGATCCATGCCGAAAATCAGAATATGCAGATTAGAATGAATAGTATGTTTGAGAACAGTCTACACTCTCACCTGAAACAGCAAAATAAGAATTCCTAACTAATTCTGCAGAGCCCCGTGGATTGCAAAGGACTTCTGTGTGTTGTCCGAGGCAGAGGGCTCCCCACTTCTGCAAAAACACCTCCAGGGTTCATCCTATGGGTGTTCAGCTCCAATTCAAAATATATGTATATTCCTCCTTACAACTAGCTGAAATCTACATGGCTTTGAACCTCCACCCCACCTGCTTCTCCCACCTGGAAGACACAGAATAAGTTTTACCCCTCTCTTCTAGGCACTGGCCTTTTAGGTATCTGAAAATAACCTTAGACTTTGTCAAAGGTTATAAGCTCGGCTTCCATTAATCCTGTGACCAGCAGAAAGTGTCTGGTCTCTGTCTTGGTGTTGCTCTCGGGCCAATTGCCCTGTTTTGTACTCTGCCCTTGACTCTTGAAAGCTGCATAGAGAATGCTGCCGGGGCTCTGGAGACAGACGATCCGGGTTCACAACCTGATTCCCCCTGAGCGAGTTACTTCACCTCTCTGGCCCTCAGTTTCCCTGTATATGAAGTGCAGGTGATAATAGTGCCCATCTCGGACGGTTTGTAAAGACGGAGATGGTATATGCAAAAAGCTTAGAGAATCGCATGTGGCAAGAGTCCAGCGTATGTTAGTGTTGTTTTGTGTGTCATCATCACTGGTTGGATTCGGCCATCGGATCTGGCCTGTCATGTGTTCTCTGGGGCTTTTGGGGCTTTCGGGGCTTTCTTTCTGTTGTTCTTTGTGTCGGCTGTCACTCTCAGCTTCTTGTCACTGACAGTTTTGATCAGAATCTCTTCTCTTCGCGTAAGTCACTGTTAAAAAACGTGAAGGTTCCTCAAGAGGCAGTAGAAACCTCCTTCTAGAACCTCCCTTTGGGGAGCAGTTGTAATTCTCCAGCTCTCTTCCCAGCCCCTGCATTTCTCCACCTTGTCTTAACCCTGTTACCCTGAGAGACTGTCCAAGTCTTCCCTGAAATCACAAAGCATCACCTGATCTCCTTGTCCAGAAGTCTCGGTTTTGTCTATTTTTTTAAATTTTTGTTTTATATTTTGTTTTATTTTTTGTGATTTTCTGATTTCATTTTGAATAGGAAATGAAGAGACTTGGACCTGTTTTTGAACTTAGGAAACCCTGGCTGACTCACAGTCCTGCCCTCTCTCTTTCTGAAGCACTCACAGCCCTCTTGCTCTGTGCTGTGGTGGGCAAGAAGGCAGACTCAGATTCAGATCCCGGCTCTATCATTTCCTACCTGTGTGACTTAGGAAAACTACAAAACCTCTGGGAAAAATGGAATAATAATAGCGCCTATCTTGTGGGATTGTCAGGGGTTAATACAGGTAGGTTTCTTGGAAGGGTGCTTGGCACACAATAAATATTACATAAATGTCAGCTAGCAGAGGTAGCACTTTGGGGACCACCTTAACAGGTACTGCTGGTACTAGACTGTATTTATTTTATTATAGTATTATTTTTTCTTTAAATTGACTTACCTTTTTTTTGCTTTAATAAATTTATTTTGAAAGATATGCCTTAAATGGAAGCCAAATATCACATGCCATAAGGAGAAGGTATGCATAAAAATACGAAGACCCCAGGGGTGCCTGGGTGGCTCAGTCATTTAAACGTCTGACTCTTGATCTCAGCTCAGGTCTTGATCTCAGGGTTGTGAGTTCAAGCCCTGTGTTGGGCTTCACTCTGGGAGTGGACCCTACTCAAAAAAAAAAATAATATATATATAGAGAGAGAGAGAGAACAGTGTTATTAAATTCTAAGTGAGTACTCATGCCTTGCCTTGCAGACTCCGAACCCAAAGCCTGGCACATATGAATGTGTGCACACACACTCTCCGTCTCTCATAAAAATTAGGGAAGTGATGTTAAAGCCACCCTCAAGACAATCCTTGGCACATATGAAGAAATTTGCTTGGGGCACCTGGGTGGCTCAGCCGGTTAAGTATCCAACTCTTGGTTTAGGCTCAGGTCATGATCTCAGGAAGCCCCGCATCAAGCTCTGCAGTGAGTGTGGAGCCTGTTTAAGATTCTCTCTCCCTCTCCCATTGCCCCTCCCCCCCCCCACTGGAGCGCACTCTCTCTCTAAAACTAAATAAATAAATCTTAAAAAAAAAAAAAAAATTTGCTTTCCCCCCGTGCATGCAGTTCCGTGTTACTGAATCCCCCAATTGTACCAGCAGCTCCCACACTCTACAGACCCTGCTCTGGGCCATTTCTGCTATTTTGTAGGTGACTAACGTCACCTTTGTCGCCTTCTCGTTTCCACAGCCTGCGAGGCTCCCCATTCGAAACCTGTGCTCTGCTTGCCTCTGTTGTTCTGTGACTTCTGGGTGCCTGGAAGTTCTCTCAGAGTATTCATGGAGGTGCCACTCTCCTGTGTCACGAGGTCTCTGGGCGCAGCGGGACGCAGTGCCCTCCCCTGGGTTGGGCTTCTCTTTCCCCTGTCAAGTTGGCTCTCCCCTTCCCAGCTCTGAGGTCATTCACAAGCTGCTGCGGGCGTGGTGAGTGACAGACGATCCGCCCTGCAGAGCAGCCCCTCTTCCCTCCTCCTGTTTGTTCCAGCCCGGACAGAAAGGCCCTTTCTTCCATCCCACAGGCCCTGCGTCCACCACCTGCTCTTACGGGTCCTGTCCCTCCTGCTCTGTTCTGAGGACATCCCACCTCCCTGCCTTTTGTTGGCATCTGCTCTGAACCTGAGCTCCTCTGAGGTCTCCCTGTGACCCAGGGGCTTTCTTTGGTTCCCAGCCCGTGAGCCCCTCCCAGCCGGCCCCTTCTCCTGGGTCAGTATTGCCTTCACTATCTCGGGCCCTGGGGACTTACTCCCACTGTGTATCGATTGTTAGAAACCTGTTCTTCTAAAAATCCAGGCTACGTGTTTCCTCCCTCTCCTGTTACGAACCCTCAGCTGACCCGAGCCCTTTATCCTGAGGTCCCTCATCTGCTCCTCACCACCACCCATGGGTTCTCGCCAGGCCAGCAGCTTCACCCCTTCCTTGTTCTGAGAGTTGAGGTTTTCAGCATGCCCCATTTCCTTTTTCCCCTACCGTGCATTTAGTAGAGTGGGCCTCCCCGCGGACGTGTGGCTGGCCAGAGTCCCTGATCACGGCTGTGCCCAGCAGGTGCGTCCACGAGTGGGGTCTCCTCCAACCTGTGAGGTGCTCCCACTGCAGCATCGCCTTGATTTCTGCCTGGTTTCATTCCCACCCAAAATGTTTTTCGTGATAGTCTCCCTTCAGGTTCACAGGTTTCCTCATAGAGAAAAAAGACCTATAGAAGTATCGCTCTTCTATTGAAAAAACATTCTCCTGCACCTTCCATCAGGGTTGCTTCCTCTGGGTGAAAAATTATTTTTTACATCTATGTATGCACCGCTTCTGATATGTATGATCTGCGTAGAGTCACGCTCAGAGCCTCAGTTTACTCATATGCAAAATAGACACTAATAATACCTACCTCGTAGGGTTTTTTGAGGCCAAGCTAATGTCCATAAAAAGTACCATTTAGTGCTGGGCATACCCTAGTCAGGAGATAGTAGGCTTAAGTTGTTAGCATCCTCACGCCCCACAGCCAGCATTAATGTGGAAACAGAGACTCAAAGAAGTCTAGTAACTTGCCCAGGATCACACAGTTGGTTAGTGGAGCTTATTAACCAGGATTGAAACTCAGGGTTTCCACAGACTCCTTGCTCTTTCTACTACACCCTCAGTGCTTGGAGATCCAAATAGACTTAAAACCTAAATTTGATCAAGGGGTAGAGAGTCCAGTTCTGGTCAGATTCACTGGGAGTCTCTGGAAATAGATATCTGTGGCTCTGCCTTGTATGGGCTGATCACCTCAGAGACCCTTCGCATCAGCAGTCCTGTGGGCAGGACGCTTGGGAGTCTAGAGCAGAGAGCCTTCCCGGAAGCTGCCCAGGTGTGATCTGAAGCCAGCCCCCGTATGCAGAGGGCAGGGGGAGACCGAAGGAAGAGGCGGGCCACTCCACCTTGGTAGGTGACGGTTTTAGTAAGCGAAGGGAACTTACAAGGCTTGTCTTGGGTAGCAGCAAGACAAATGGGTCCCCGCACCTTCCCGTCAAATCTTTAAAGTTTAGAAAGTGGCCCTACCTGGGCTCGGTTACGTCTATGGATAGGTGTTTCCAGCACCACATTACTGTCTTAAGGCCGTGTCCTCACAGCACCCTCTGGGAGCAGGAAAGGCAAGCAGAACCCACATTCTAAGTACAGGGAGCAGGGGAGGCGCCTCTGAGTGCCCAGGTCCCACTCACGGGCCAGTGTGGGGTCGTGTCGTTTTGATGATGTTCCCCAGCACCCTGTGAGGATGAGGCAGATGTAGACCAGTGGGTGTCGACTCTGCCTTGGGTTCTGGGGACAGTAGCCCCTTCACGTCTAAGGGAAGTTGGGAAATGGCCACTAGCCCACACACCCATATGTAAGGTTTACAAGTAAATTCTTAACTCCAACTTTCCGGCCGCATACTTTAATTTTGAATATTCCCTGTGACGTTTGAAAATAAGAATAGAAAAGCTGTTCTAGACAAATCACGTGCATCTGTTGGTTTATAGCCCCTTTTAGCTGTACACAAATATAATTTTTATGTAAGATGGGCCCAGCAACTATAGGCCTAGAGGGAAAAAAAAAATTGAATGAGTCAGAATTTGATGGCACTGTGTTGAGATGGACAGCTTGGCCCTGAGTTTTGCTTTGAAGCCGGAGGCAAGAGCTAAGACAGCTGTGGCCCAAGCTTCAGGATTTGGAAGGGAGGATAAAAAACAGGGAGAGGCAGTGGGCTCTCGGTGAGCCTGCGGGGAAGCCTGAGCTTGCGGGGGAAGATGCAGCAGCCCTACGACCTTGGGCAGGTCGTTTAACCCCTCTGAGGCTGGGGCTCCCCATCTGCCATCTGGGGAGTGTGTCAGCTCTGTGAGTCATGGACAAAAGCCTCTGAGGGCCTAGGGGACTCTGCTTGAATGTAAAGGGATGTTTGTCTCTGTTTGGGAACTTCTTTTACTGGGAATTCTATGGGATTTCTGATCACCCTTACTGAAGTTGATGGGGGGCTCATAGCAACAATGGTAACCTGGCCCCCCACAGTGAGCCTGGCTCTGCTCACCATTACCTCCGGCCTCTGTCACCATCTGGGAAGCAGGTGTTGTCCCCATCTATCCAGTGAAAACTGTGAAAATCCAAGAGGTTGAGAGGCAGGTTCAAAGTCATAGGCTAGCAGGTAGAGGAGAAAGTGAGTCCAGTGGAGTTTGGCTTCCCACTGTGTGCTCGTAACCGCTGGGCCTTGAGGCCTTCTACTCAAGTGGGTAGGGGATGGATGGTGAAGGAGGGTGAGGTGGAAGGGGGTGTGGAGAGCAGAGAAGGGGCCTGAGGGCCAGGAGTGGGCTTGATGGGGGATGGAGGACGGAGGAGGAGGAGAGGTTGCTCCTATGTCAAGGCACCGTGTCTGAGGCCTCTCCTGTTCTTCCAGCAAGCAGACTCTGGTGATAAGGAGGATGAGCTCTGTACTCATCCTCCAGGCTGCAGCTCCAGGCTGGTTGGAGAGCTGTGGCCTGGCCCCTGGCAGGCCCACCCCCACCCTACTTTCTAGGAGAGGAGGGGAGCCTCCTCTGCCGCCCTCAGGGAACAGACACAGAGCAGATGGGCTTTGCCTGAGTCTCCCTTCCACCAGCAGCTCTCAGAGTACCTGGTGTGAGTGTGAGGGTGCTGGCCACATGCCCCACCTGTCCGTCCAGGTGCAGGCTCATGTGCACCACCCCCACAGTGGAGGTTAGCTCACACCCGGTGGTTCCCTTGCAGACCAAATGTCACCAGTACTGGCCCGATCCTCCCGATGTCATGGAACACGGCAACTTTCACATCCGATGTCAGTCAGAGGACTGCACCATCGCTTATGTGTTCCGAGAAATGCTGGTCACCAACACTGAGGTAAGCCGCGCCCCTGCAGGGAGAGGCTGGGGAGGGAGGGCACAGCTTAGAGACAGGTGCTAAAGCAGCATCCACCGTGGTCCTGGATAGGGCGGTGCTTCCAGATCTGTTCTACATTTTCACCTGGTGAGCATTTCAGCAAATGTACAAGCCGACTTGTGAAAGAACCGGCACCCTCATTCCCAGCACCGCTGTTCACAATCCGCAGGTGGGAACATCCAAGTGTCCACTGACAGATAAATGGAGAAACAAGATGTGGTCTGTTTATACGGTGGGGTACTATTCAGCTTTGCAAAGAAGGAAATTCTGATGCATGTTATAGCAAGGATGAACCTTGAAGACGTTCTACTAGGTCAGACCAGCCAGTCACGAGAGGAAAGTATTGTACGATTGTATGGAGTACGTGGAGTAGTCAGAATCTGAGAGACAGAAAGTGGAATGATGGCTGGCTGGGGGGAGGGGGATTGAAGAGTCAGTGCTTCATGGCTACAGAGTTTCCACTTGGGAAGATGAAAAACTTCTGGAAATAGCTAGTGGTGATGGTTACACCACCCTGGGAATGTAGTTAATGGCACTGAACTATACACTTAATGCTTAAAATAGTAAACTTCGTGTTACGTATATTTTGCCCCCCCTGAAAAAAGAAAAAGCCAGTGTGTGTGGCCCTAATGGCAAGTGCCGTTGGAGCGAAAGGGAAGGAGTCGCAGTGGGCAGAAGTGGGGAAGGAAGCCGTCCTGAGGGGGGCCGGAGGCGTGGCCTGAGCCGTGTCCCGGAGGATGGGTGCATGGGAGTGGATGGATGCGCGGAGGGTGAGTGCGGGTTTCCAGGGGCCTTGGCGGGGCTGTGCGCAGCGAGTGGAGGGGCAGCCGGAGACAGGACCACCGTAGCTGAGGCCGGGGTCCCCCCGCCCACCCACCTTCTGGATGGACTCACCAAGGCCACCCTGCATCTTCTACAGACCGGGGAAGAGCACACTGTGACGCATCTCCAGTACGTCGCGTGGCCCGACCACGGCGTTCCTGATGACTCCTCAGACTTTCTGGAGTTTGTCAACTCTGTGAGGTCCCTGCGAGTGGGTGGTGACCCCGTGTTAGTTCACTGCAGGTACTGTGGCTCTCTGGTTTTGCTTGTTTTCATACACATACTCCAGAGGGAAAGACCTGGAGAAAGTTGGCAAAGAGCACCCTAAATCCCACGAGACCAGATGCTTTTACAAGAAGGCTGTTTATTTCTTCACTATTTCAAAAAATGTAGAATTTTATGAAAGCATAAATCCCTGAATGTAGACCAGAAGAAGAAAGCCCCACCCTCAGCCCACACTTAAATGTGGGTTTCTTTTCATTGGTGTTGAAGCCCCTGGCCTCAGAATATATGAGGAGAGACCTTTTCAATTGTTCAAGAGCATGCCCTGAATGTGTGTTTTGTGTTCTTGAAGGTCAGGGGAGGAAAGCTCTGAGTAAATGTGGGAACTGGCTAGGAGTTAAGCTGGGCTGTGCAGAAATACTGCCTGAGCAAATCCCAAGTCTCTGCTTCTGTCCCCCAGTGCTGGAATAGGGCGCACCGGTGTGCTGGTCACCATGGAAACAGCCATATGCCTAATTGAGAGAAACCTGCCTGTTTACCCACTGGATGTTGTCCGGAAAATGCGAGACCAGCGTGCCATGATGGTGCAGACATCAGTGAGTAGAAATCCACCGATAAAAGTAGTAACAATGGGGGCACCTGGGTGGCTCAGTCGTTAAGCATCTGCCTTCGGCTCAGGTCATGATCCCACGGTCCTGGGATCGAGCCCTACATCCGGCTCCCTGCTCGGCGGGAAGCCTGCTTCTCCCTCTCCCACTCCCCCTGCTTGTGTTCCCTCTCTTTCTGTGTCTCTCTCTGTCAAATAAATAAAATCTTAAAAAAAAAAAAAGTAGTAATGATGGCCAACACTTTCTGGGCACTTGCCCTGGGCCAGGCCTGGGAGGAGGGCTTTGCTTGTTAAGAGACCAAGGTTCAAGGGCTCTGCATCACTTGCCCAAGGTGGCAGAGGTTGTCAGAGGCTGAGCGGCTCCAAAGCCCACCCCACGTGACCTCTGTCTTTCACTGCCCTTTCCCTTTGCTGCCTCCGTGGTGTGCTTCCTGCCAGCCCTGGTTGCCTTCTACATGGTCGAGCCACTGGCCCACCATTTGTCCATCAGAAGTAAGCAAAGTCCCCTGAGGGTTTTACCCCACCTGCCTGTCTGTGGATGAGTCTTCTGGCTCAGTGGACGTGTCACACGGCCCTATTCTCTCCTCCTTGGGCTGTCTCCCATGTGTGTCACATCTGGGTTATTGACACTGCAAGTGTCCTCCAGAGGAAATCTTGTGGGTTTCCCCTAGAACTTGAAGAGAGGCAGGTCAGGTGATGTAGAAGAAAGAGCATGATTCAGGCTACCCCACATACTGGGTGGCCTTTGGATAGTCCCTTAACCTCTCTCCAAGCCTCAGTTTCCCCATCTGCAAAATGGGGACCATCCCACATTCCTTTAGATAATTGCACACACCGGAGAGACCCAAGCTTGCATGTGGTGGGAAAACTGGATCAGTCCATTATAAATCTCAACAGTAATGGAGGAAGTCCAAGGGGAGTCTAAGAACTCAATGGAAGAGTGTCAAAAGCAGACTTTGGAAAGTCAAGGAAGGCTTTCTGGAGGAGGAGATGGAGTCAACAAAGAAAGGAGTGGGAATTCCACATAGCAGCCAGCTCTGTGCCCTCACAAGCTCGTGGACAAAGTTTCTAACATTTCTCTAATGATGGTGAGCTCTCTGTTATACTCAGGAAATACAATTCAGAGGACAAGATCAGGTTATTAAGACTCTCGTTCTCTGCCCTCTTCCATGTTATGAAAGACCTCACTGCCGGTTCACAGTGTTTACAGTGCATCTTCTGGGTAGATTTTCCCAGCTGGTGAAGCACCGTCGAAATGCTTTCTTTCACCCTGTACACTTCACTAAATAAGGTCCTTAGGTGTTGGTTAACTTAAAGAACCATGTCCTGCAGAGCAGCGTTCGGTGGCCCTGCTTAAGACAAAGTCCAGACTCCTTACCGTGGCACAAGGCCCCGCACCCCCAGGGCCCGGCCACCTGTGCAGCCTCTCTTTCCGGGCCCAGGTGTTCCCGGCCAGGGCTCTGAGCCCTGACTGTGCCACGTGGAATGGGCTGGCTCCTCTCTCGGCTGTGGCTTCCATGATGCTTTGCCCATTGCTCTCCGGTAGCCGCCCCTAGCCCTCATGATGCAGGAATAATGGCTGCATGGGGGTCTGCCCCACTGTGGGTCCCCTGCAGGTATGCAGGGTCTGGCCTGGCCCAGAGCGGGAGCTCAGAGTACTCGTGAGGGATGTGAAAGAGTGAGCATAGATGTGGTGCAAGGCCTGTTTATGGAGCTGTGGGTGGACTGACAGTTTTCTTTTCTTTTCCAGAGCCAGTACAAGTTTGTATGTGAAGCAATTCTTCGTGTTTATGAAGAAGGCTTAGTCCAAATGCTGGATCCCAGTTAAGACAACTGTGAAAAACGTTCATTCCTCTTTCCCAAGGGCATCCTCCTTAAGGACAGACGCCTCTCTGGAAGCAGCAAGAGGAAATTTGTAGGCTGTGGGGAAGGAATGAGCACATTTGAAGCCAGGCACTTTAAAGTTCTAAAGAAGAGGTATCGTGTACATAGGAACTGTGTAGATACGCATGCAGTTACCGCAACATTTAGGCCCGTTTGTCCTCAGAAATAAGCAAAAGGGGATCTCAGTTTGGGGCCTGTCCTATTGCCTTCCTCCCTAGACATCACCATGTTCCTGTAAACCATCCCTGGGCAATTGAGAGGGGAGGCCAGCAGTGCTGTTGACCTCCCAGAAACAAGAGGGTGTGGCTACTTGGAGTTGCTTGGATGTTTTGTGTGTATATGTGTATAGGACTCTAAGGGCTGAGCTTTCTGGGCTTCGAGGCAGAGATGGGACTGTTAGCTTTCACCCGCCGATGCTAAGGGAACCCTGATGAGTGTACTCAGTGGTAGGGTGGTGGGATTTCAAGCTGAAGGGCGGGCACTACCTTTTCTGCCCCATCTCCCTCCCACTTCCCATATTCGTGTTTCTGAAAATCACTTCCAAAATGCCCCGCTTGCTCCCCGCATTAATGACCCGTTCAGGGGCTCACACAGTGCCTGGACCAGGTTAGTAACGTAGGTTCCGGCGAGTTTTCAGTTGAGACTCTGAGAATGAAGACTCCCTGTGCGTCTTGTCACCCGTCGTTAGGAGCAGGGTGCTTCGGGTTTCCACTTGCCTCTTGCTGTCCCTGCAGAACCCAAGACTGGAATTGTCGACTACTGAATCTACTACATGGATTGCTGCTACTTCAAGCTATTAAACTTGAAACACTACGATTTTCCTGAGGGGAGATGGGATATCATCTTAATATTCAGAATCTTTGGCCCTTCTGAGGAAAGATCTAGTCATGGAACCATGGGAAACCCAGCTTCTAGAGGGTTTTCCGTGGATGTGTGTGGATGTGTGTGTGTGTGCCCATGGTAAGTGTTTCTCAGGATTCCTAACTTGATTCAAATTACAGTTGAGTTTCTATAAAGAATGAGTCTCTGTATAGAAGAACAAATGTGTGCATTCACCCTCGGTTAGAATGGTCTCCATTTCATTTCAAAGGAGAGGATCAGGCTATCTGAATATAAACACAATTTGATGTTAATTTATTCTAAGTGCACCCTGATTTTAATTGTCCTAAAGAATCCTGCCTTTGTTCATACTGTGTTAAATTTTTTAAAAATTTGTGACAGGATTGTAGCAAATTATTATTTAAGGAAAATAAATTACATAAGAATTTGAATGTGGTATTTTTAAATAGCGGCTTTTATGTATCCTGAAGGGAGAGGAAGCTCAGCCAGTTTCTTAGTGGGATGTATAGAAAAAGGATGCTTTTATATCATAGCGCACAGAAGTGAAGCCATTTTGATGGTTAGCAAACTCTGGACTAGTCGAGTCGTTTCCTGGGTGCAAGCTGGATAACGACCTAGATGATGGGAGCCGGGTTTCTAAAGGTTCTTTATCTCCAGACTTAGCTCATTTAGTTGCGCACTTCCCACCTGTCCCCCACCAGTACTTGACTGCTAAATGGCAGGGGTGGGAGGGAGGTGTCACGCTGTGCCATAGCCCACTACTGTGAGACAGGAGACCACCGAAGCCCCATCTTTGTCGGATTCCTGCTAAGCTAGCAGAATGAACCAGGAGAGGTTGCAATTATGCAGTTGGAGATTTGGTTCCTGGTCCCACTCGTCAGTAACTATCTCTTGGCCTGGTCACTTCGGAGCACTGTGTCTCTTTCCTCTATTTCCTGTGAGACGGGAGGAATAATAGTGAGGCTGTGGGTTGAATATGAGGACCGAACAAATGCTCTCAGCGGGAGTTTTCATCAGCTGGTAGCTATTTGATACTGCTTACAGGTGCGTTACTTGGAAAAGTTAACTTACCAGCCATCAGCCCAAAAACCCACGAAATAGAAGTAGAAGCTTATGGGGCGCCTGGGTGGCTCAGATGGTTAAGCATCTGCCTTTGGCTCAGGTCATGATCCCAGGGTCCTGGGATCAAGCCCTACGTCCGGCTCCTGGCTCAGCGGGGAGCCTGCTACTCCCTCTGCCTCTCCCCCTGCTCGTGCTCTTTCTCTCTCTCTGTATCTCTGTGTCTTGAATGAATAAATAAAATCTTTAAAAAAAAAAAAGAAGTAGAAGCTTATGGATCTTTCCACAAAAGAAAATTTCTTCTGCTGAGAACAAAAGCACAAAGGAATATCCTCATACCAGTGCCTTTCTTCAATCTGGACTCAGAAGACATTCTACCAGCTAAGTCCCAAAAGAGAGGGGAAGGTGGAAAGCTGACCTCAATGTAAATGCCATCAGGATGTCTAGCAAATTATTGCTGTTTGATAAAAATGCATCAGCACCCTGTGTGCAAGAAGCTTGAGAAGACTAAATGTGTTTGGAGAGTTGTGGTTTATTTTTTTTTTCTTAAAACAAATTATTTGATACAGTTGCAGAAATGCTGTCATTATTGTACATAAATTTCTAAAAAGCTTACCAAAGTTTGCACCTCACCTTTTTCTGCCACTGTGCAGGCCAGTAGTTCAGATCCAGCAGATGTTATTAGCAACAAAATTCATGAAATACTGGGGAAGAACAGGACAAGAGAATTATCCAAAGGGGCAAAATACATGAGTAAATATTACTACAGATACAGCCAGTTAAATTCTGTGCCTCCACATTCCTGCTTCAATACTTTATACATTTAAGCAATTATACTTAAGCCTTTTTGAGTCGTAAGTGAAAAGCATCAACACGGAATATTTTGCGTGGAAAATTGGGCTGGATGTGAACAGAGAAGGCATTTTACATCTGTGTTTTGTTCTCTGGAAGATTTGATCAGACTCACTGACGTGCTGACTTAGGATGGGACGTCCCTCCCTGTGTCCCTGTAGAAACTGCACTTGGTGTTTTGACTTCACAGAAAAAGAGATTGAACTCAGTTTGGCTGGGGGAGGTCAGGATGCGGGGTGTTGATCACAAACATGCTGGTCTGTCATTCCTGCCTCAGTAATTTGTACTTAAAAATGTTTTTTTAATTAAGTTTTTTATTTTAATTCCAGATTGTTAACATTAAAAATGCTTTTAGATTAGTGTAGGTGCTCTTGCCTCTCTGCTGCTATTTCTTTTTTGTTCCTCAGAAATTATCATTTTAGTGAAAGCAACAGGCCGCTTCATCCCTCAGAGGCAGCATCAATAGGAAATGCTCATAGGAGCTCAGATGAGGGAAAGCTCACTCAGGTCTAGACCTAGACTTGGGTGAGATGTGTCACCCTCAGGCCTCAATTTCCTTATGTGTAAAAAGAAGTTTGGGCTGGACTAGATGAGTTCTTGGGTTCTTTCAACGTTTACCATTCTGGGAGTCAGTGTTCCAGAGAATTGAAATTAACCCCAAATCAAAGCCATATAACTATTGGAGAGAAATATACCACATTTCCATGACTTGTCTCCAAGAGATTGTTCCTCAAACCTTAGCAGGCTTGAGTGCCGAGTCAAGGATTGCCACCCTCTGGTTCTTGCCATTCTGCGCTGAGAACAAAATCCGTAAAGACAGCAAAGACCCTGACCTCAGCCTAACTCTGAGGAGCCAAACATGTGGGAGTCTGATGGCTGACTGTCTGCCTCTTGCTGTCCCTGCAGAACCCAAGAAAAATCAATATTTTTTCTGTAAATCTGGGACCTTTTTCATTCTGAACTGTCAGTGACTCTACTGAAAAAGTTTGATCGATATAAAAACATTCAAGCTATGCAACACTTACTGTGTGTTGACATTTTTATTCTAAGAATTGTCTTAATTTCTGAAAGGGTTTTCTCACTCTGTTTGCTTTTCTTTTTCTTTCTTTCTTTCCTTCTTTCTTTCTTTTCTTTCTTTCTTTCTCTCTCTTTCTTTCTTTTTCTTTCTTTCCTTCTTTCTTTCTTTCTTTCTCTCTCTCTTTCTTTCTTTCTTTCCTTCTTTTCTTTCTTTCTTTCTCTCTCTCTTTCTTTCTTTCTTTTCTTTCTTTCCTTCTTTCTTTCTTTTCTTTCTTTCTTTCTTTCTCTCTCTCTCTCTTTCTTTCTTTCTTTCTTTCTTTCTCTCTCTCTCTCTTTCTTTCTTTCTTTCTTTCCTTTTTTAAAGTAAATATTAACTCTCTTGGAGGAGAGTGCTCTCTGCCCATCCCTTCCCTCTGGTCAGGAGCTCGACCTGTCTTGACCTGGTGTGGCAAATTCTAGATCTGAATTAGGTTCAGCTGTCATGACAACAGTAGCTTACATAAAGAAGTTTCTGTACTTTATATATCACACTGGGCTGCCAGGGTGGCTCCATGATCCCCAGGGTCCCAGGTTCTATCTGATCTGGTGCTCTACCATCCCCAGTATGGAGCGTCAGTGCTGAGGTCCATGACGATGGCCCCAGCCAACAGGATGGAGGAAAGGGGAAGGAGAAACTAAAACCCCTTCCCTTAGGGTGTATCGTCTGGATGTTGTACATTTCATTGATCAGAACTTAGTGACAGGGCTATACCTACTGCAAAGGAATCTAGGGAAGGTTTTTATTCCAAGAAACCATGTGTCTAACAAATTCAGGAGTTCTGTTTCTGAGAAGGAAAGAATGAGTTTCAGGGACAATTAATCTCTGCCATAGTTCAACGCTTTGGTTCTGCCATTCCTCCTCTCTCCAAGGTAGACAACCCAAGCCCCAACCACTTACAGCTTGAAGCTAAAGCTAAGATCCCTTTTGGGTGACTTGTGGTCTTCTCCATCAGCTCTGGGTGGCTTCTTGTCAATGACTTCTAAACTCAAGACAAGTGATCTCCCAACACAGCCCATAAACAGCAGTGAAGTAGAAACAGGAAAACAACCATTGAAAACTCATTTGTAAGAGGGAAGAACAGGAACACTGATCCAAGTGGTTATCCAAGTCCACTGCAAAGGAAGAACGAAGACGCTTCTAGAAGGCCAGTAAGTCCCTCAGCTGCCTGACAGCCAAGTCCTGCTCTCTGGGAGGATTTCCTTGTCCGTGGACCTCCATGGCCACATCCAAGTTGGGACTGCAGTGGTGGGCAGCCTTGTTGGGGACAGAACAGCTTTTGTAGCCTGTTGACTCCTGGAGCAGTTTTGTGGGGGGATCCCCAGGGTTGTGGTTTCTGAATTCCAGCAAGTACCCACAGCTGATGGTCTGGCCTACAATGACGTTCTGTGCTCTGCTCATGCCTCTTAAAGGTGGCTACCTTGAGGCCGCCAGAAAGAGAAGCTTGGGTGGGAAGGCAAGACCCTTCATCTGACCTTTGGAGCTACCTAGTTCATGTTTTCTGGCAGAGAAGTCTTGAAGATGGCTTGCTGCCCCTGGCCTTAGCTCCTCTAAGGCTGCCACTTCAATGCCACTGCCTCGAATAGCTGCAGTCTGAAGAACAACAACAGTTGGCATTTTCTGTGCTTGAAGACCTTCATCAATTCTGAGCACAGGCTACAGACTGCCTCCCTTAGCCAAGCCAGGCCCCCTTCCATCTCTGCTGCAGCCCCCCGGGCTCTAGCCCCAGCCGGTCTTACCTCTGTGGGACTTTGTGAAAAGCAACTACCCTCCTACCATTTTCTCTACTATCTTGGCCTTGGTCAGCATGTGGTCCCACCTCCAAAGTACTGCAGATGACACTTTCATCAAAGTGACACCTTAGTCACTATATAAAAGGCAGTGTCTGTCTTTGCCATCTGCTGGCCTGCCAATTCCACTAAGCCAATGCCACATTTTGATGTTATTTGCAGCATCCTACTTTCAATGATCAAATTCTGACTCCAAAAACCAAAGTAAAATTGGCTGGAGCAAAATAGAAGTTTATTTCCCTCTCAGATAAACACAGGAGTCTAGAGCTGGTAAAGGGGCTGCATGGTTACCATGATCTGTGCCCCTCCAATCTGCTGGCTCCATTAACTCCAACATATATCGTCTACCTCACAGTCCAAGATGGCTGCTCCAGCGGCAGTCATCACATCCACATTCCGGCTGGAAAGAAAAAGGAAAATGGTGGCAAAAAATGCCTTTGCCTTTAAGGATAATTCCTAAAAGTTGCACAGACTACTCTGACTTACAAACGGTTGGCCAGAACTTAACCATATGGGTACACCTAGCTGCAAGTGAGGTTAGGGAATGAAATCTTCATTCTGGATGGCACTCTACCCAGCCAAAATTCTGAAGTTTTTTTTATTGAAGAAGGGGAAATGATGGTTTGGGTAACTTAGCTGCAGATTCCTTGACTTCAGATCTACTGAAGGGCTGACTTACTCTACCCAGCCAAAATTCTGGAGTTTTCTTATTGAAGAAGGGGAAATGATGGTTTGGGCACCTTAACAGCTCCCCAGCAGATTCCTTGACTTCAGATCTACTGAAGGGCTGACTTAGGAGGAGTTAACTCTGCTCAAGACCCAGCACACAGGAACAGATGCAATGATGTCATTTAAGTGAGACAAGGTCAGCATCCATCCGTTACATGCAAACATCATTGGAATAAGAATAGACTGATAACACAGACTCAACCTCTCTTCTAGACCAGAGCCCCACCCATTCCCCACCCCCAAATTACACAAGTCAGTCTCCCTATGGCCACCCTTGTATCCAATACTCGTCAGTCCCTAAACCTCTGGATTCCTCTCATGGTCAAAGAAGGCTCCAGGATTTCTCCTGAGGCCGCCCCCGGGACTTCCAACATCATCGGCCAAACCAGAGGAAGAGCCAGGGAAGACCTGTTGGGACTTGACGGTGGCAGAGGTCCAGGGGAGAGATGGTGGCAATGAGGACGAGGTAAGTGGTCACAACCCCAACATACGTAAGAGGAAAAAGAGAAGACTCTAACTGGCGGGTGTGCAGAGAGAGGAGCCGAGGACAGGCCAGTTTCTAGGTTGGGCAACTGGGTGGGTGCAGGTGCTGCAAGCCAGGAGGACCAGGTGTGGGAAAGAGGATGAGATTGCTGTTTGGGTCTGAAGTCCAGCATTAGGGACATGGAG